ACTGCATCACAGAATCAGCGTTAGCGGGTGGAAGGGACCTCTAGGGGTCGTCTGGTCCAGCCCCCTGCCAAAGCGAGATGCCCTGGGGCAGGCCCCGCAGGACCCTTGTTGAACTCCCTGAGGTTCCCCTTTGCCCAGCTCTCCAGCCTGTCCAGATCTCGTTGGGTGGCAGCACAGCCTACCTGGGTGTCAGTCAAACTCCCAGTTTTGTACCATCAGCGAATTTGCTGAGGGTGCACTCTGTCCCCTTGTCCAGGTCGTTGATGAAGGTACTGAACACAACTGGGCCCAGCACTGATCCCTGGGGAACACCACTGGCCACAGGCCTCCAGCTTGACTCTGTGCCACTGATCACAACCCATCTGATTTTGAGCCATTTAACAATCCACCTCATGGTCCAATCATCTATCCCACATTTCTTGAGTTTACCTACAAGGATGTTGTGGGACACAGTATCGGAAGCCTTACTGAAGTCAAGGTGTATGACATCTACCGCTCTCCCTCCATCCACACATTTGGTCGCACCTTCGTAGAAGGATATCGGATTAGTCAGGCAAGATTTCCCCTTGGTAGCGTCATGCTGGCTACTCCTGATAACTTTCCTCCGTTTGGTTAGAGATGGCCTTCAGAATGAGCCACTCTATCATCTTCCCAGGGGTAGAGGTGAGGCTGACCGCCCTGTAGTTGCCAGGGTCCTCCTTCTTGCCCTTTTTGAAGACTAGAGTGACATTGGCTTTCTTCTAGTCCTCAGGCACTTCTCCCGTCCTCCATGATTTCTCAGAAATGGTGGAGAGGGACTCAGCAACAACGTCAGCCAGCTCTCAGCACATGTGGATGCATCCTATCGGAGCTCATGGATTTGTGCGTTTTCAGTTTCTCCAAGAGGCCTCTAACCCAATCCTCACTGACCAGTGGAGAGTCTTCTTCGCTCCAGATTTGCTCCCTTATTTCTAGGGACTGGAATTCCTGGGGGCTGGTCTTAGGAGTAAAGACTGGAGCAAAGAAGGCATTCAGCAATTCTGCATCCTCTGTTACCGTATCTCTCACCTTATTTAGCAGCAGACCCACTTTTTCCCTCCTCTTCCTTTTCTCCCTAGCCAGACGAAGTTCCAAGAGCCTTGACCTTTCTTGTTGAGTCTTTAAGGTGCCTTCCAAACCCAACCAGTGTATGATTCTGTAAGTGCAGGTAAAAGCGGAAATGTGGGACTGAAACAGGAAGTTCCCCAGAGGCTGCTAAGCTGTCTTGCTATCCCAGGTCCTGGGGGCTTGCTTTCAGGGGTGGGGACGGTCGCGGCAGTGCAGACCACTTGGTGCCCCTCCACTGACACTCCTCCCCTGTAGCTGTTAGGCTGCCTTGCTAGCAGCATCAATCTCCTGACCTCAGTGAGAGTTTCTGGGCTGGGCTTAAACACTCTTTTTCCAGTTGTGGAGCAGGTTGTCTCCACCAGCAGGTCGTGTTCCGGGTCACAGAAATGTCCCATGGTCCATAGGGAGGCAGAAAGGGCCCACTCCCAAATGCAATTTCTATGTCTTCTCAGGCTCTAGGCCACCATTTCTCTGTTTCTAACCTGTGCAAGGAATATAGCTTTTTTTTTTCCCTATGTCCAGCCCATGGACATTTCTGCATACCCTAGGTCTCCGTTTTGTGAGTGGGAAGCACACTGTATAAATAAAAAACATTAAGAACTTAAACACCAGTTTCTCCAGATGTTTCCTTCATAATGGCTACTGTCAGCTTCTCAGAGAGAAAAGCTAAACAGATCATCTGTACTGTCCTTTTTTTATTGCAGGCCTGTGACTGTGACCTAAATTCTTCATACTAATTTTCACTTTTAAGCAAAATGGTTTAGTTCTAAAAAAAACACAAAAAACCTAGAGCATGTGCCATGTTTGGTGGTCATCTGGATTCTTCTAATGGTAGATTAGGCCAGCTTGTTACATCAGACTGTGCCTGCCTGATTGTTCATTTTTACCGTTACAGCTTCGCAGGGCCGTTTTTTCTAGCTGCTCCTCAGTCAGGTTTCTCCATGCCTCTGGTGCAGGGGTTTCCTAAACACTACTGTTTGCGCCACTGGGTGCCTGTAGACTGTATCAGAGTAGTACAAACACAAACATTCAGCTGAGCTCCCGTCTGAAGAAAAAACATGATTGCGAAGTTACTGATCAGACAGCTGTGACGTTCTCTCTTGCTGCTTCCCTGACCCCTCCCTGAGAGGAGGCTGGGACAGGAGGCCAGGGGACAGTCTGACACCCCATGGGCACAGTTTAACAATTTGTCTTGGTGGTGTTGGTGCCGGGTCATGAATTTCTCACCTGGTGGCCAAGGTATCTCACCAACCGTAGTCCAGAGAGGAGTGAACTACTGCTTCTTCCTAGGCATAAATTAGAAGGCAAGAGCATAAAAGACAAATCGAAGCTTATTTTCTTCCAGTGCATTTTTTTTAGTGATTAATTTTGTTTGCCCTGAAGTTGTCTATTCTTTAGTTTTTATAGAGCACTGAAGTTCCTCAGCATCTCCTGACAGGTCATCACATTTTTATGACTTCTTCAAATTCTGTCATATCGCAGTTTACTGTTTTTCCCAGACAAAACACTTCATAGCATGGGCCAGTTGACAATATGCATTACATTTTCCTGTCAGAAAGATAGGTAATCTCCCCTCCGCTCATACATGGCAAAATGCTGTCACCTTTCCTAGGTTACAGGTTTCGTATTTCATATACTTCTACTGGGCAATGATTTTTGTTTTGTAGTCTATACAACCAAGATTTTTGTCTTTGATTTCCCAACAAAGAACGATACTGAGTCCTTATTAGTATTTGGAAGAAGATGATATGTGATTACCCACACACCAGGAACAATGTAAAGCAAATGAGTTGTTTATACTGACTTGGGAGTATCAATGGTATCTGTTAAATTACACGTCTTTATAGTAGGACCATAAGAAGCAACAGGCAGTAAGTGACAAAAAGTCTTTGCTAAATAATTCCATGATGTGGATAAGGTGAACATCTGAGCAGCTGATGGAGTATGACAAAATAATTGAGAGAAAATGTGAAAAGAGACTAGAGACAACATTTCTGGCATGGTAAATGCAAGAATTATTTCTTTAAGGAAAAAATAAGTACTATGTAAAAACTACTCAGGCTTTAAAATATTTATCATTGTGTGATAAAGTCTAGACAGAGAGCTGGTACCTCTGAATGAACTGGAGACAGAGAGTACTCATCATGCCTCGCTGCGAGGGGACTGATGGGCTCTCATTCGGGGAGCATTGGGGGGCTCATCCCTATTTTGATTCCAGTTCCAATTCAGCCGGAGTCAAAAAGGTCAAACACTTCCTTGTTGCAGAAAACAGTGGTTTCCTTTTCAAAAGTTGGGGTGCACATCCTCCACATGAGGGTGATTGTGTTTAACTGAAAAATTATGCTGCTAATGTGAATTGTTCTGCTTTGTTAGGACAGCAGGCCTGGACGTCACAGACAGCAGAAGGTCAAGAAGTGTCTGGGAGACAAAAAGTACGTGCATGTTTCTTGTCTAGTTTGACAGAGGGCAAGAAAACACAAGAGATTCCTCTTGGAAAACCGTATCTGGTCTTTACATACTATTCTGAATTTTAAGAGCTGCAATGATTCTGGTCTGTGTGATCAGAATCTCAGCTGACTTCTTGTATCGTAAGAAAAAAGCTTTCCTGACACTTCAGGGGGCGTTAGCTTAACACTGCGAAGATAAATATTTTGTGTTTGAGACCAAGTGGTGTTCCAAAATCTGTGTATTTTGAGTGTGATCGCAACAGAAGGGCTTTAATGTGAGAATTCCTCTCCCTGTCCTTCTGCAGTCCCTCCCTAAACACAGCCTATATGATCTGACCAAGTACCATCGGTGTCCCCCACTTACTAATTTCTGGACTGCTGTGTTAAAACCTGTGAGCTGCACAGCTCAGGCTGGGCGAGAATGTTGCTGGGGTGGCCGTGAATGTTGCTGGGGTGGCCGTCACTGCTAGCATCCCAGCGATCTGCTCATTTCAGTTAGTGAATCATGGCAGCGATAGGTATATTGCAGATTGCTGCTGTTTTCTGGCCTTTGCTATCCCGGTAACGGTGTTTGCCCAGAGCACAGATGCTCGCAGACTCTTTGACACCCAATCATTCAGCTGCTGTGTACAGCAGGGTAAAAGTCCAGGCATGTCAGGGCTCTGAGAATATTTGAGAATAGTGAAGTAAAGTTCCCTTTGATCTCTAGGAAGAAAAATCAGCACTGCTGACTGGTCTAAGCTAGTCTTAATTTAGTAGTGTAATTTGCAGAATATACTGTAACGCTGTCTCAATTGCTGAAAGCTTTACTGGTTAAAGTTCTTACTAGCATTAAGTCTTTTAATTGTGTAATGTCAGCACTGACAGCAACAATACATACTGGAGGAAATCTTCCCCCCTGTGGCATGGAAAAGGTCTTTTTTGTAATGATGGGCTGCAGAAGAATTCTATATTCCGCAGTGGTTGCTTAAAGATAAACGTATATTTTTAAATATATTTTAAATTGAGGTTAACTTGTGCCTGCTTCTTTAGTTGAAAGTTTGAGGTAGGATAAATTTTTTTTTTGTTCTTTTCAAGTAGTTTTCTAATGTCATTCTCTGAAAGGTATACTGAAAAAAAATAACATTTAGTATGTTTTATCTTGCCAGTGCTTTTAAGTGCACAAAACTCAGGAGACTGAATGGACTTTGAGATTAATTTTTAGGGTACTTGGGAAGATGAAAGGGGTGTTGTCGGTCAGGTTACTGCAGTTGTGTGTGTATCTATGCATACATATACATAGATTTTCAAGTTGATGTTTTCCAGGTCTAAGCAGTTTGAAGAGGTGGAAACTACTGTCCTAGGACTGAACAGTAGCTATGAGGAGACTGTCAGCAACACTTCTTCTGCCTCACCGAAGGGTCAAGTGAACGGAAGTGCAGAGTCCAGAAGCAAGCGCACTATTCGCAGGCCTGCTTACTGGTTGGAAATGAGAGGAGTAAAAAACAGCGTTAACAAATCTTCAGAAAAAAAAGGTACCCTTCACCTTTGGCTCAGTACAAAATGGTTTTTCTTCCTGGTCCTTTTATGAGAGGTTAGATTACTTCTGAAAGACACGCTGCAGTTTAGCCACAGATTGCAAGCTTGGTAATGCTGCTCATGTATGAGGAGAAATAAACTTCCTCCACTGCAGAAACATAGGGGAGATTCTCTGATGTTACACGGTTCCTTTTGAATGACTCGTCTATTAAAATTAATGATTCTGTGACTGAGCTCAGTTTTATCTGTAGAGGAAGTATGTGTAGGGATTCTGCCACTCATATCAGAAATATACTTTGAGAGCTTTAGAAATAGAACAACCAACACTAAACATGTAGAAAAGGGGACCACTCAGCAGCATTCTGGATTAGACACAGCCTTTGTGTTTGGTAGATTATTATTTTTTTGTAAGGAAATTTTTACTTGTTTTATTTTCTTGTTTCTGTCACTTACAATTTTCTGATTTGAGTAGTTTGAGTCTTATGTTGTTGTAGGAACATTCAGAGTTCCTGAACTAGGAACTGTTTTCCAAAATTCTCATGTGGCAGAGGGCCAAAACTTTGTTCTTCTTTAATGCACTTTATTTTTATTTCTAAATCAGAATCTTATTCTGTCCTGTTGTGGGGAGAGTTGCATCTGGAGCTCCACACGTTCAGGTCCCACCGCTAGCGAGACTGAGCATATGTTCCTGTAGGTGTAAGCACGTGTACAACATGCGCACGGCCAGTGCCATGGGTCAGCACGAAGAGGTGTGCTCAGCACTCCCCTCCGTCCTGTTCCCTCTCTGGCTCATTGGGATGAAGTTGTGTTAATGAGAGAAAAGCAGCATATAGAAAAGTGTATATGAAAGAAGTGCATATGTAGATGTGTGTGCATTTGTGTGCACACGTATGTGCAGTGTGGATCTCTCCTGTAGGTGGACTGAAGCACTCCCTCTCCTCTGTGCCTGGCTTTCGGAGCCTGGGCTCCCCACTTGCTGGTCCGTGGACATACCAGCCCCCGAGGCTCACAGAGCTGTGCCAGTTCCTGGTGCAGAGCTCCTTACTGGTGGGCTCACATGTGCAGACACTGCTATCCCCGGCCCTTCTGACGTGGTGTCAGGCCTGACAGACTTGTGTACTGACCAACCACCTCCCTACAGGCTGGGGGCCCTTTTCATCCGCTTACACCTTTCCTGCACTTGGTCCTTCCCAAATTAGCTAATTCTCTCCCTTTGCCTGCCTTTAATATCGCTTCTGAACATCGCAGACTTGTGTAATGCTGAATTGCTCTAGTGCCACAGAGCCTGGGGCTTTTAACACCGCACCCTCCCTCCTCACCGCTCCCCACTTCCAAAGGGTGCTCTAGAGAGGGGCTGCCGTTGAGTCATCCTGGTGGGTCTCCTGCGACAGACCTGGGAGGAAGGTGTCTGTTTCTCCGAGCCCATAATTTGTGTTCTCCTGCGTGCCATTGCGCTTCTGTACTTCTCTGTGTTCGTGGAGATAAGCCTACGATAGGCCTGGAAATAGTGAGAGGAGGCAGAGTGTTATCTGCATTTCCACACCTGCTGTTATTTCTCTATGCTCCTTTTTGTGTGTATGCAGATGAGCCTTTTATGATGAAACCTGGCACCTTCTGGCTCTTCCTGAGGAGAAGTGTTTTCCCAAACCATGCTGTATCACTTTTTCTTCCATATCTTCTATGTCAGAGGATTGCAGGCTGTGGAGCACCAAAATGTTACTGAGTCAAAAGACTGTGTCTAGCTCACTGGTGTCCAGGTGCCTAACAAAAACTACTTGAAAAAAAAGAAAAAACACCGCTGTTGGGTGCAAAGATAAACTGAGGCAGCAGCAGATCAAAGCTGTTACCCAGACCGAACAATGAGACTGAAGCGTTTCTGTTCTTATTCATTAGCAGAAGTGCTACTGAAAGGGAAGAGGAAATCTGAGCAAGAGGAAGATGACGATCTTAAAGACTCTCCCAAGAAGAAGCAGAAGATTGCAGGTAATAACTTGTAATTTCTAATTAGGAGCCGCCAGGTGCTTCAGACTTCCTCTCTGCACAAATGCTATCCTCTGCTGTCCAACTCTTTTTCTGATTCTGGGTGTTTTATAGGATACCATTGTCTAGTTTCTGTTTTACAGTGGGAGATGATTGTTCTAATTTCAGTCTCTCTTAAAAGTCCAACAAAGGAAGGGAGGAAAAGAAGTAGGGTACATATAGGCGAGTCTGCTTCATTTCAGTTTCCCGAAAGATCCTGGACTAAATAATTGGACAAATTATTTATAAACATCTGGAAATTAATGAGTAGATGATAACAACAATGTGGGTTGGTTAAGGAGAAATCAAACTGAACCACTTTGATTTTCTTTTACTACAGAGGTGGAGGCAGGAAATGCTTGACATCATAGGGTTTTCTTGGCTTCAAAGGGTTGTTAATCAGTGTTTAGGTGCAGAAGAAAGTGTACAAGTGGTGACAGTAGGAGCAGGTGACAGTAAGAGCATCTGCCGACCAGTCTTGCAAGGATGAGGTTAGGAAAGGCAAGGACAACGAGGTGCTGAATGTGGGAAGGGATGTGAAAGGCAACAAGGAAGGATTCTACGAAGTCTAAGGAAAGTGCGAGTGCGCTGCTGAACAGGGCAGGGGAACCGGTGACAAATGACTTGGGAAAGGTTGAGGTACACAATGCTCCCTGAGACTCAGTCTCTAAAGGAATCCTTCAGGGATCCCAGGTGCCTGAGACCAGAAGGTCTGGAGCAGGGAAGCCTTACACTCGACAAAGGAAGGTGAGGTTGGAGCACTTTAAGAAACTGGGCCTACCTAATCATTCACCAGCAATCCTGGCTACCCAGGGGCGTCCCAGTGAATGGAAGGTCAGCAAATCTATTGGAAGGGACAGAAGGAGGATCTGGGGAACTGCAGGCCTGTCAGTCTGACCTTGGTGCTCCAGGGGAAGTTTAGATTGGATATTAGGAAGAATTTCTTCCCCAAAAGAGTTGTCAAGCATTGGAACAGGGAAGCAGTGGAGTCACCATCCCTGGAGGTATTTAAAGACGTGTAAGTGTGGTGGTGCTCAGGGACGTGGTTTAGCAGCGACAGCACTCGTTTAGTGGTTGGACTTGAAAATCTTAAAGGTTCTTTCCAACCTAAACGATTCCATGATTCTAAGTCCCATGTGGCTTGATGGGTTGCACTGAGTGCTGAGAGAGCCGCCTGATATCATTTCGAGGCAACTCTTGATTATCTTTGAAAGGTCATGGTGACTGGGAGGGGTTCTTGAAGACTGGAAGAGGGCAAATATCACTCCTATCTTCCAGGACAGAAAGAAGGAAGATCTGGGGAACTACAGGCTGGTCAATCTCACCTCCATCCCTGGGGAGGTGATGAAGAGAGTCCACTTGGAAAGCATGTCCACGCGCTTCCGAACAGCTGTGGTGATTGGGAGTAGTCAGCATAGATTCCTGAAGGGAAAATCATGCTTTAGCGACCTAATAGATCACTAGCGTGGTGGATGAGGGGAGAGCAGTGGGTTTTGTTCACCCCCACTTTACTAAGGCTTTTGGTGCTGTTTCCCACAACATCCTCTTAGATGAGCTGACAAAGTACAGTTAGATAAATGAGCAGTGCAGTGGACTGAAAATGAGCTGAACATCCAGGCCCAGAGGATGGTGATCATCAGCACAAGGTCTGGTTGGTGAGCACACCGCTAGTGGCGTACTCCCAGGTAAATACCAGGGCTGGTACCCTTCAGTATTTTCATTAGTGACCTGCACAGTGGGACAGTGTGCACGCTCAGCAGGTACACCGATGATACAAGACTGGGAGGAGTGGCAAGGCACCAGATGGCTGCCATCTGCAGGGACCCAGGCAGGCTGGAGAATAAAGCACAGAAGAATCTCTTGAGGCTGGTCAAGGAGGAATGTGAAGTCCTACAGCTGGACAGGAATAACACCAGGTACATTCTGAAGTATAGAACGGTGATTCAGTCTGTCCTAGGGTTGATTCTGTTGTTTTCGTCACCAAGGACTTGGAAGTCTGTAGACAGCACAAAGCTGAAAGAGTTGGCGTGTGTGTTGGAGAAAAGGTTAAAATTTTAAGTGGTCTTTATGTCAGAGAAACAGTTTAAAAAGTCAGATGGAATAGTATGTAAGATTAGGTATCAGTTCTTCAGAAGAGGATTTGAGATTCATAACAAATCAAAATAGAATAGGAATCAACAGTGTCATACTTGTTTTTGAAAAGGCAGATGTTACACTAGGATGTTGGA